ATCACCACTGTCGTCACCACTGCCGTTACCACTGCCATCTCCACTGCCATCACCACTGCCATCTCCACTGCCATCATCACTGTCGTCACCACTGCTATCACCACTGTCATCACCACTACTGTCACCACTGTCATCTCCACTGCCGCCACCACTGCCATCACCACTGTCGTCTCCACTGCCATCTCCAGAGCCATCACCACTGCTATCACCACTGTCATCACCACTACCGTCAACACTGTCGTCACCACTGTCATCTCCACTATCATCACCACTGCCGTCACCACCGTCATCACCACTGCCGTCACCACTGTCATCACCACTGTCATTTCCACTGCCGTCACCGCTATCGTCACCGTTGCCGTCATCACTGTCATCTCCACTGCCATCACTACTGTCGTCACCACTGCCGTCACCACTATCATCTCCACTGTCATCACCGCTGTCATCTCCACCACCGTCACCACTGTCGTCACCATTGTCGTCACCACTACTGTCACCACTGCCGTCACCACTGTCATCTCCACTGTCATCACCGCTGTCAATTCCACTACCGTCACCACTGCCGTCACCACCGTCGTCGCCACTGCCGTCACCATTGTCGTCACCGCTGCCATCTCCACTGCCGTTATCACTGTCATCTCCACTGCCATCTACATTGCCGCCACCACTGTCGTCGCTACTGCCATCTTCATTATCGTCACCAATGTCATCTACACTGCTGTCGCCACTGTCGTCTAACACATTGTTATCAGCACCCTCGTTTTTAACATCGTTGCCGCTATCAATGTCATCCACATTTGTATCATCATTATTTTCACCGCCGTGATTGTCAGGATTAAGCTTTTCCGAAACATCGTATGCGTACTATAATGAATAGTATAATTATATTACTCGCTGGTAGGTCTAGAAGGCCAGATGGTAACTAACAATTAATAGCATTTAATGTAAGTATTTCAGATAAATGAATCTTTGTTACATGTCACTTCCTAAATTGAATATTCAGCTGTTTACGTCAATAATACCGTACCATAATTTTCCAGGTGTTTCCAAATTAAATAAAAATAATAATTACTTTTTATACTTACATGTCCAGCTACTTTTTCGTGATCAGGGGGAAAATTCCATCCTGATTTAACATCTTCCGAAGTTCTTCTGTTCACAGAATAAAGAACAGAATCACCTCTGTCATCACTTTCTGTTTCTGGCAATTCCTTTTGATCTTCCAACTGCTCATTCGATATTCGAGTTATGGTTGATCGAGTCTCAACTCCACCTAATCTCACTTGGCATATTAGGAGAAATATACTTAAATATTTTAAATACCGCATTTTTGTATATATTCTGTGGTGATGAAACAAAAAAGCAGTGTCAACCCGCCAAGAGATATCAATGTATTGAATAGATATAGATATAAACTGGAATAGACGTGATGGTATTGGTGAAAAATAAATTAGTTTTCGGCTAATATACTGATAATAATGCACAAGATAGCGATAACGATACCGGTTGTAGCTAACACCGTCACTAAACGAGAAAGTTGCTTTGATTCAATAAGTCCATCATTACTATAAAAACTAAAATATACGTAAATTTTACGTTTCAAAATCAGTGATACTCTATCGTCTACGCGTTGCATCGTGTCGTCACATGTGAGCATTGCTATGAAAGCTCATATTCCCTTATGTTAGAAAAAGTGCAGAAAGCGTTTCTTAGATACTTGTACAAACGTGCAAATGGGTACTATGGGTACCAACCCTATACTATATCCTACTTCGTTTCTGTTGGGTTTTCTGGTGTGGTTAACTCATGATTACTTGCAAAATTGTGCAGAGTAATAAAGATACTTCAAATTTGAATGATCAACTGTGTCGACTCTATGCCCCTAACTACCACAGCAAAAGAAGACAAAACTTGTTTACCACCCCGTGGTCCGCAACCGTAGCGAGCGCTTATTCACCCATCCCGCGCTTCCCTGTCAGCGCTCAATTCTCTTGTTGCTACCAACGACTTATTTGCTAATGGCTGGTCAGGAATATTGTCAGAATGTTTGTATTAAAGTGAAAAGGGATGCTTGAAAAGTACTTAATATTATATAATTATTTTTAAATTATTATAATTATTAATACAAAGATCGAACACTCAGAAAAAATTCCTTCGATCCGGCCGGATTCGAACCGACGTCTTCTAGCATACTATGCCAGACGCTATACCAACTAAGCAACGGAACGAACCAGCGGACCTCACTTTTTCACACAAAATTTTTCTGTGTGCTTGTTGTCGTATTTATTGCATTTGGTTTTTTCAGCGACTTTTTAGCCATAGCGCGTCTAGTAGAAATCTATGAAAGTATTTCGTCATAATCTATAAAAGTAGTTGTTATAATGTTTCTTTAATTCCTGTAACTGGTTTAAAAAAATAGATGAATAAAAAAATAGAAATTCTGGTTTGCGATGAATCTACAACCAAATGGAACTTGTCAAGTATGCGATAAAGCTCTGAGTGGCATAGTTCTCGGATCCTGATGATATCCCTAACATTAACCTTAAAACTAACTAAGTCCAAACTCATGGTACTACGATTTCGTTTAACTAAGGTGAGCGAACTGTATACGATTTTACAATAAGACTTACGTTAAAATAATCACTTCCTAAGTTTAAGACTTACATTATTAGTGCATTGTGTAAAATGGACGGCAAATAAGAAATTAGTAACGAGAGCTTATTAGAATGGTTTCTAATTTTTACCGCCAGTGCCACATACAGTGTTTTTCATGACATTGGCGAGAAAATAGATACAACGGTAATTTATTTCTTGTATGAAAAAATATCGCCTTAGAACACAACATTTACAGATTTTGCAAGGGCGGGTTTTTCGAGGCAGATTGCTATTCTTTCATAGATATTACAATCCTCAAACTAAACTGTTACAATAGGCACATACGCATGCGGACACAATATATTAGATATGACATCATTATTTCCAAATTCTGAAAAAACTGCAGAATCTGAATTTGGTGCTTTCTACTGCTTATAAATTAGTCCATGCGAGGCAGCATGTTCCTCACATACTCGAATCAATTTTGAGTTAATGAATGTAAAACATTTATTGTTTAGAAAAGTATAACTTGGAAGACGCCGCTACAAACAAGTGGACCGACCGGGAAAGTATACCGATTGTACCGAAAGGAAATTTCCAATACATCACCCAAATTTCGTTGGGCTATCATACGAGTATAGTAGGAAATTAAAACAAATATATGAAACGTCTAGTCGAATATTTGTTTATTTTCAACTTAGACCTAAGGTTACACACGACTACTCTTAGCAGCAATGTAAACGCGCCTTCGTGAAACTCGCGATTGCATCGCTACACTTGCAATTTATAGGTGATTGCATCGATGCAAGCCGCGACTGCATCGATACACACGTTTCGATGCAGTGGCGCGCTTGCATCGCGTTTGCGTAGCTGCTTAAAATCCCGCGCGTGTGTAAAGATAGACGATTAGCGACTGGATGGGTTGCATCGCCGTTAAAAGCCATCGTTTTTAAAAAGCTCAGAATTATATTAAAAATATTACCAGTGATCGGCAAAAGAGCTGTAACAGCAAAATGTAGGACTAATAACAAATATTTCACGTTTCCACTTCTGTTTTTAATCTATACCTGTATTATATTAGTAAAGAAAACGTTTATCTGTATTTATGACGTACCTATATGAGTTTTTAATAGCCTTGGCGCCGGTATACCACCAGTTTTCCATACGATATTGTTCTAACGAAATTGTACGCTTGATAAGATACGTGAGTCGTGTTTGACACAAATATCAATATTATACGATAACTGCGCATTTTTCTGTGTTTTTCGCGTCACTAGTTTTTGGCAAATTAAGCATGCAAATTACAATTGAACTCACAGGCATGTATCTAAATAGATGCCGCAAGTACTGCGATCTGTATGGCAACCAAGCGTGCCAAATTTTTATACCTCCGATGACGTCACAAGCGCTATTTAGTGATGTGAAACCTCCTCCTCCTTCGGCACTAACAATAATAATAGTAATAAACAAATCATTTATTTGGCATCCAAGGCGCACTTATGAGTAAATACAGACATTTTTAAACTTATGACTATTATTTGTAAATACAGAAACAAAACATAAAAACACATTATTTCGCTCGAGGCGCCGCCGACTACCCCAGCACCTCTGCAGAACCTGGATGAAATGAGGAAGCATCGGCGCATCGAGCTTAGCCAAACATTTTCAGGATGCTGTTAAGACTAGAACGCAGTCTAGACAGCATTGACGCCATCTTTTTTCGCATCACTGCAAAAAAGTTGTCTACTCCCGCTTGAGCAACAACGACGAAGCGCTAAAGCGCTACTAAAGCTATTGTTTATTTTTGTGCGACGTCAGCGCACTCCGCACTAGGCAAATATCATGTAACCATGAACGAGTAACAAAGCCCTGCCTACGAGCCCTTTGGTAAGCTTTTCTAGTGAATCCAGTGTGACCATTTGGTATTTAGCAGAACCATCCCATAGCTGGCAGCAGTGCTCCATCCAATCGATCATTTAATTTTCTGACATTTTATCGCGGGAAATTGTCACTGCTCGGCCATTTTGTTTGAATTCTATACGTATTAATATGTCTAGAATTAAGAAGTTACGCGCGTGTTACAATGTTATTACGAAATCGAAACGCAGAAGCTCAAATACATTTCAGCCTTGATAAATCTTTTTCAATAAACAAAATTTTGAAAGACTTAAAATCGATCAAAAGAATCATGGAGTACATTATAATTTTTTTTGATTATTCAGTCCATTACCACAAGTGACGGTGTTTATAAATACTTAACTATATTAACAATTTTACGAAAATGGCAGAACCTTGTACTCATGTCAAAGATATGATAACAGTTACGTCCATTCAGGTCCTGATATCATCTGATAATATACCTATTTATAATTATTATTAATATAAAAGATAATTAGTAATTTTATTTTAGATAAAATTAAATTATAATTTCAAAATCCCCGATACGAAACTGCGTCATCGGTAGTCAAAAGGTCAATAAAACAACATCAGTAAGGCAACATCAGCGTCGCGTCCTGTTTTTCACCTCCAACATCCAAGCGTCCACGCGCGATTCCATATTTGCATAACACAAAGTGTGAGTAGAGCCTTAGTGTGACGCCACATGGGCGTTGCTGGTGCGTTGTAACGCATATGATTTTAACGCAACGAGGGCCACACAAGTAAATTCACTTTTCATTATCTGAAAAATTACATTTTTGCTACAACAATCACGTTTTTTCATTGAAAATTCTAACTGCAAAAAGATTCCCTAAGAATATGCCAAATGGCACAAAAATTTGTTTGAATATTGTTGGACTTTTTCGTTACCATCTATTATATAAGGAGACCGTTAGTATAGATACACCTATACAAGTGTATATAATATTAAGTCTCCTTTACAGGCATAAAAGAAATATAAATTGCACTATTACGGAAAATTCTGCGGGAAATGTATACATTGATCCGTACGGGGTTAGAGAACAATATAAGGGTCGTATGGATCGAAAATAATGAAATTGTTCTTGATAAGATACGAGCGCTTCGTTTGACACCAAGTTGTTGTATAAATCAATATACTTTCTAGATAAAACAACATACATGGCGTGTTGGAAAACTTCTTATCTGATAATTCTTAGAATAAAGGCTGCAAAGAAAAAGTCTGACCAAGTTATTTCATTTATTTATGACGACAACTATCCCTGGACTGTCGTATCCACAATTGATATCCCTTGTATAATAAAGACCAAAGATCAAAGGCCGTTTGATCAAACATTAATTGCTCAAAAACATTTTCAACTCGATTATCCATTCGACTAATGAACCAAGAGCTCTAAGATTGCCACAACGATGCATTTTAGTTGCAGTGGAGTTTCTTGCAGTAATGCCAATCAATAATCTGACCATTAATTCCGATTTGGAAGGGAAAGGGTGCTGGTGAAATTACAGGCACATGGGACTTGTCAACTTATGTCCCAGGGTGACGGGCGCAATGTCAGTGCCCCTCAGATCTTTGCGATTTAAAACTCCGAGTGGCACTGCAACTGTTATGGACAGGTGTATAGCCTACCATCAGGCGCATGACGTGTTCGTCCTGCTGTCACTTGACATTATTTTAAAAAAATCATAATAACTAAAGAACGTGTGTCGTCAATAATTTGCAGTCAAATTTTACTATGCATGCATGCATACTTCACCGAAATTGCAAAAAAAACTGGTAATCGTTATAAGTATTCGATCCAGGTGCATTCGAACCAGTGTCTTCCAGCGAACCGTGCTAGACGCTATGCCAAACTAAG